AGATAGATAGATAGATAGATAGATAGATAGATAGATAGATAGATAGATTAGATAGATAGATAGATTAGATAGATAGTTTGGATAGGCAGGCAGAGATGACATCTAGATGACATATGTAAACATATATTTCAATCATTGTATTTAAAAAGGATTCTACAGAGTTAAAAGACTAGGGAAACAAGAGAGTGAGAATGAGTTGAGGAAAAAAGTAAAACATATCTAAACAAGCAAATTCCAATCTTTGCTGCTGTTACTAGCATAATTATTACAGATTCCATCATCCTAAATTACATCATCCTGATTCTGTTCTTCCCATAATCCATCCTTTGTACTCAGTAATTCCCAGAATCACCTGTTCATTTTTGACCCTGTTCAGCAAAAACTCCACCAAGGTTTTTCAGTCTTTTATAATAATATATATATATATATTGCTGCTTCCCAAATCTGACAAGACTCTTTAGGCATTTCTGTCAGTTCTTCCATCTTCACCATTCTCGATCTCGTGGAGGAGTAAATGTGGAAGGACGAGTATTTTGCAAAACGTGGGGTGCATAATAGCCTCGCGGCTCTTCTTAACTTTAAAATAACTTGGTTTTGGGAGGGAGATTGAAATTGCTCAGGATTTTTAGGGGTGAGAAGTGGGAATAAAATAAACCAGTGCTCTAGGGAAAAGGGCTTTTGTCTGGCAAATGGAATGGATGCATATAAAAGGTAGTTCTAGGAAACAGAGCCAACAATTTATTCCCTATATCCAAAATAACAATAATATATAGGAATTCTTGCCTGAAAATATATTGCTTGGGTCATTTTTTCTTACTATGGTTGGGCACACAGCCAGGTGTTTAGACCTGATTTTGGTAATTTAATGCCTCAGATACCTCTGGAAAGGGACAGGTGCTGGCTACGTCCCCCCCCCCCCAGGTTTGGTGTCTCGTTATTTACTGACACAGAAATGAAACCTACAACTTCCTGCTTGTGTACAAAATGATGCACGCCTGTGTTGTGTTTTTTTCTGCAACCAATTTCGTGCCGAAGGGCCTGGCGATTTGGAGGATGGGCCACTAGGTGGCGCTGCAGTGCCAAATAATAACCTAGAACGAGGAGGAGGCCAAAATTAAGCAAGGTTTAATCTGGGGTGTAGATTGCAGCGGTAGGCAAGGAAGTAGCTGCAAAAAGAGGCAGGGAGAGTGGGGGGGAGAGAGGGAGAAGGAGAAAGAAGAAAGGAAGGAAGGAGGGAGGGAGGGAGGGAGGGAGGGAGGGAGGGAGGGAGGGAGGAAGGAAGGAAGGAAGGAAGGAAGGAAGGAAGGAAGGAAGGAAGGAAGGACCAGAAAGAGAAAGAAACAATTTGTGCCTTGTAAATTTGCAGTCTATGCAGGGTCTTGTTTCCAAAATACAACATTTAACTCTTGTACAATGTTTAACTCCATAGAGTAGCAGGGTATTTCAGAGGGGGAGAAGGTTGGATTGGATGAATCTGAACCCCAAAAGTTGATCTTGTAATAAGGGTTCTTGGTAGAGTCGGACTTGAAATATTTCAGCTCAGATTCTCCCTTGATTGTGGAATATGGACACTGCTTTTCCCCAAACCTCCCTTGCAGGGTTGTTGTTAAGGAGCAATTTAGGGCCACAGAGGCCACGGGTGTGAAGGTAGGAGAGAAAAGACATCGTAAATGAATTAAACATACATCAAGGAGGGAAAGAAAACAAAGAGTTAAGTATTGCTATGAAAACAAAGTTTATTTGATACAACTTCACACCCAAAGCCAGCAGAGGAGAAAAGAGGAGAGAAGGTGCCCCACTGCAAAAAAAGGTCATAAAAGTATAAAAACTACGACTGTCGTGAGTTACGACCGTGATGGGCAGACTCCATTATGGTCATAACTCAAGGACTACCTGTACAAGATGACAGAACAAAATGGCAGTTTGCCAACGTTAATCCCTCATACATTTCAAAAACTTGAAAAATCGGAAGCAGAAGCGTTGCATTTTGAATCTCAATTCCCAGCATTGAATCTCCATTACGTACTTTTCCTGTGTTGTTTGTTTGTTCTGCGTTCTGCATGCTGTTCTCTGTACAGCAGTCGGCATTCTGCATCTTGTTCTGCATTCTGCATGTTGTTCTTCGTTCCTCAGTCTGCATTCTGGATGTTGTTCCATGTTCTGCATGTTCTGTGTTC